AAAAAAAAAAAAAAAAAAAAAAATCAGCCAGGCACGGTGGCACATGCCTGTGGTTCCAGTTACTTCAAAGGCTGAGGTGGAAGGATCACCTGAGTCCAGCAGGTTGAGGCTGCGGTGGTCATGAATGTACCACTGCACTCCAGCCTGGACAACAGAGTAAGACTCCAACTCAAAGAAAAAAAAAAAAGATTCAGAGCCATTTTATCATTTTATTCATAAATATTTCTGCATGTATTTCCAAAAGATAAGCTCTTATTATCTTTTAATGTACAAAGGATCATTCTGTCTTTAACCCATTCCAACCTTTATATCCTTATCTATTCCACTCCACTAAAACAGCTTTCACAAAGGTCACCAAAGACTGCAACTTTATCAAATCCAGTGGGCAACTGCCAGTCATCTTCTTTTTTTTTGAGTTGGAGTCTCACTCTGTCGCCCAGACTGGAGTGCAGTGGCCACTCCCAGCCACCGCAGCCTCGACCTGCTGGGCTCCGGCAATCCTTCCACCTCAGCCTTCCAAGTAGCCAGAATTACAGGCATGTGCTACTACGCCCGGCTAATTTTTTTATTTATTGTTGAGATCAGGTCTCGCTGCCCCGGTGGGTCTCGAACCCGCGGGCTTAGGCAATCCACTCACCTTAGCCTCCCAAAGGCGCAGGATTACAGGCTGAGCCACCGAGCCCGGCGCTGGTCATCTTCTTAATCTCTCTGTAGCATCTGACACAATTGATCACTCATTTATTTATTTATTTATAGTCAGAGTCTCACTCTGTCGATCCTTTTGCCTCACCCTTCCAAGTAGCTGAAACTAAGGGTGTGCACTACCACAACCAGCTAATTTTATAATTTATTGTAGAGATGAGGTCTCACCACGTTGCTCAGGCTGGTCTTGAACCCGTGAGCTCAGGTAATCCTCTCGCCTCTGCCTCCCAAAGTGCTGCGATTACAGGCATGAGCCATGGCGGCTAGCCTCACTCCTTTCTTCTTTTTTTTGAGTTGGAGTCTCACTCTGTTGCCCTGGCTGGAGTGCAGTGGTACGCTCACAGCCACAGCAGCCTCGACCTGCTAGGCTCAGACGATCCTTTCGCCTCAGTCTTCCAAGTAGTTGGAACTACAGAAGTATGCCACCACACCCAGTTGGTCTTTGTGATTTATTGTAGAGATGAGGTCTCACCAAGTTGCTCAGGCTTGTCTCAAACCCCTGGGCTCAGGCAGTCCACTTGCCTCGGCCTCCCAAAGTGCTGGGATTACAGACTGAGCCACTGCGCCCAGCCACTCCATTCTCTAAATACTTCCTTCACTTAACCTCTGGTTAACTGCTTACTCCTGCTTTTCCTCTTACATAAACAGCTGATCCTTTGTTGCTGCTTCTTCCCCTTTCCAACCTCTAAATGTTGGAATGCATCAGGAATTATATCTTGGGTATCTTTCTCAACCTCAATCTCACTTTCTAAACGATATCATCTAGTCTCAGGGCTTTTCAACTATCTGTTGATGACATCTATATTTATATCTCCAGCAAAGGACATTCAAGTGAATTTCCCACTTGAATATCTATAACAGACATCTTGAATTTAACTTGATTCCTGTCATTTCTGCTCCTTGTCCAGTTTTCCTCTTTTCATGAAATGTACTACCATGCACAATTGTTCAGGCTGAAAACCCAGCCCAGACCCTCTTTTTCTTATATTCCACATCCAATTCATTAGCAAGTCCTAGGAAAAGTTCTCTTCTAGAAGTTCTTTAATTCTATCAGACTTTCATTTCAAATTTAATCTTTTCTAACTGTCATCTTTATTAAATACAACATTTATCAACTAAGTTGCTTATCTATTATTTACAGTTTTCCTTTAAGATTTATTTACCTTAGGCCCTATCCTAATCATCAAAAGACCTCATACTATAACAAATAAGCAAAGATAACTTTTTACTCAGTTTTCACAGAAGCTGAACCCTCACTTGTAACACAATAGAAAGAAAATAATCTATAATTTACTGGGCTATAAGTAAGACATCACAGAACCAACAAGTATTCAAAGTAAAGGCAAGTTCTAATCTAACAGAACAGTAGAAGGAGAAAGAGAAAGACAACGGAAAATGTTTATTATGTTTACCTAGATTTAAGAAATTATTCCATGTTAAAATGATGTAGTATGAAAATAATCCAATGGAATAATTTGTCATGTCATGAGATTTTTTCAGAGTTCATGTACAGATAAGCTGACTGTCATTCCCATTCTGGATTTCAGAAGACCAAGATTATACATACTTCCTAGTGAATGCATACTTTCTACTTTTGCGACACTGAAGACAAGGATATTACCAAAGCATTAGCAGGAGGGATTTATATAAGAGATTAGAGAATGGAAGGATTATTAGACACTAGAATGTTCAGGTGACAAAAGGAAGCTCTCTAATCTCTCCTACGCCAAATAGCAAACCAAATGCCTGAGTTATGTGCTCTCTGAATGGTTCAGCCAAAGTGATTAACTTGACATGGAATGGGGTCCTATAAATCACACAGAACTTATGTAAATTATTCTTCTAGAGTTTGGAAACCACAGGGTAGGCTGATCCCTGAACTCACCAGTCTTGAGCATGATTACTGGCTTCCTGAGGTGGGAGTGGACTGGCTAACCGAGACACTTGAATCCAAACCGCATCATATAGGTCTTTCTTCCGAGTATGCACAGTGCATGGAACAATCAGTGGCATTCCAAAAAGGCTAGGACGATTCTTCTGAGATGACAGGAAATACAGTTCTGTCCTCATCTGTATGTACAAACAAGAGACAAGAGAGCTGACAAGACCGGCCTTTGATTCCTTCCTTTTGTTCTTCGAACACTGCCAATATAATAAGCATTACTACCATTTTCAAATTAATCACTGCAAGTCTTTTCCCTATTTATAAAACCACCTTTATTGACATGAAGAAAATGGTTACTTACAGTGGAGTCAGTGAAAAGCGTAGGTTCTACCAAATTCAGAGTTGTTGTCTACCTATCAAACTTGGATTTCAGCAATTAATACATTCAAATACAGTTTTCTCTGATAAAAATTTCTCTCTCTCACACAAATCTTATATACGAATGAGTAATGGCTTCATATGAGGCTTTTAAACAATTAAAGTTCCCTCTTTCTTTAGAAAATATGCCAGTAGACAAAAACAAACAAAGAACAAACCTCCCTCAAAATGTAACTTTCTAAGAATAAGCTGTGGATAGTGGTTGGAGAGCAGCAACTCCAAAATTTTTGGAGATTTATGCAACCCAGTTATTTAACTTTGTAATAAATTTATCAATCTCCCTAAAAGCAGCTAAGTGACTTTAGTCTTCTTTGTTTTTTAAATACATGATGGAATAAAAGGTACAATTTTTAAAATGTGCTTTGAATATGCTAGAGAGATTTTCATGACATTCTTTAATACAGAGACACTATATAGAATTATCTTGGAAATACTGTTTATGTAAAACAAAAGTTAAGTATAATAGAATGGTTGGTGGGAGTTCAAGATTGCTGAAAAAGCTGCTGAACATTTGGACATTTAATTCCTTTTTTTTTTTTTCTTAAGTTAGAGTCTCAGGCTGTTGCCTAGGTTGGAGTGCAACGGCACACTCATGGCCACTGCAGCCTCGACCTGTTGGCCTCAGGCGATCCTTCTGCTTCAGTCTTCCAAGTAGCTGGAACCACAGGTGTACACCACCATGCCCAGCTAATTTTATGATTTATTGTAGAGACAAGGTCTCACCATATTGCCCAGGCTGGTCTTGAACCCCTGGGCTCAGGCAATCCTCTTGCCTCTACCTCCCAAAGTGCTGGGATTACAGGCGTGAGCAACTATGCTCTGCCAGGACATGTAATTCCTTAAGAAGTTTGATCTTCAGGGAGTAGTTAGAAAAGTTAAATCAACAATTTATAAACTCACTATGGGTTAAGTTAGCTGGTTTTTGAGCAAAAAGACTTTATTGTAGACTCTCAAGCATTTTATTTTGTCATTATATGTAAGCTTAGTTAAATATATGATTTTAAGACCCTATTTCATGTGTTAATATTATTATAAGAAATCTAGACAGAGTTCAGTACAAATATTTTATGAAATTTAAAAGCAAATTAAACTACTGTACTCCAACCTGACACTCCGACTGAAAAAAAAAAGCAATTTTCATCCTCTCATACATAACAACTCCCAGTGTCCTAGGGCCCATATCTGCTCAGTTTCTCACAGGATAAGTTATATTCCCAGTTCTACTGCACCAGGAATTTTCCTTTGTCCTCTCCTAACAAATTTTTCTCTCATCTGAAAAAAAAAAAAAATCAACTTGTTTTAACTGTGCCAAGTTCTTGGTCCTATTTCTTTACTTGATTACATTGCCGAACTTTGTTCAGTTTTCATGCTTTTTGACTTCTCTGACCACTTTTTTCTTTTGAAGTTGACTTGTCATTTAGTTGAACCCATATGTCATTTTCCTATTTCTCCCTCATCTCTCTGAATATTCTTGCCTATGTTGCTTTGCCTATGCCTCTTCTTTTACCTTGCGGAAGGGAATAGAAAAAAAACCAAATTATTTTCAAAGTAATTCAACCATGAAATCTAAAGGGTCTGAAAGAAGAAGCCTGCAATGAAAATAAAGAATAAATGGTAAGTTCAAGTAGTGTTTTATTTATGGAAAAACTTTTTTTAAATTTTAAAGATGTGGGGTACAATTCAGGATTAGGTACATAAGTGGTCACTGTACAGGTGAAATTTGGGTCTCACTGATCCTTACTTCATCTGGTTTGGAATCAGGTACCCTTATTGATGTTATGTGCCCACTTTCCTCCCCGTCAGTGTCTCTCTCCCGCCAATCCCTTTCTTGTAGTATTGTGATAAATGTTCAGGATCCATTTATGAGTGAGAACATGGGGTACCTAGTTCTTTGGTTCTTTGATGGATCACTAAGTATGATAAATTTAGTTGCTGTCAAGCAGTGTTTTAAAAGAAGAATAAAAGGCATAGTGATAGACTAAATATGAGGTTTTGAACAAAAAAGGGAAAAAAATCTAAGAACACTCCCTTTAGTGTTTATCTTTTTTTTTTTTTTTGAGTTGGAGTCTTACTCTGTCATCCAGGCTGGAGTGCAGTGGCATGCTCATGGCCACTGCAGCCTCGAACTGCTGGGCTCAGGCAATCCTTCTGCCTCAGCCTTCCAAGTAGCTGGAACTACATGTACACGGCACTACGCTTGGTTAACTTTTTTTATTATTGTAGAGATGAGGTCTTACCAAGTTGCCCAGGCTGGTCTCGAACCCATGGGCTCAGGCTATCCTCTCACCTCAGCCTCCCAAAGTGCTGGGATTATAGGCGTGAGCCACTGTGCCCAGCCCACAGGTTTTATCCTTTAGCATGGAAGAATGGTGTTGCCTTTCACAAAAATCATGGGGAAAGGGAAGTGACTTGGAACAGACAGTAGAATCAATTTTAGGCATTCTCAAAAGCAACAGGCTATATTATGAAGGAAACTGGAAATAGGGGACTTGCCATAAGGTAAAAATGTAGAGCTGATAATATGGGCTTATGGGCCAATAATTATGAAGTCCTATATTTAACACATTAGTATTTACCAAACAATGTATCTAATATTACACATACTTAATAATTTAAGAAAGTAGTTTTCTAAGAAAAAAAAGTACATCAGGGTGCTTGATATATAATTTGATAAAGTATGGAAAAATGGGATAGAGAAGTATAGAATCATCCAACTATCTTAGCTGATAGGACCCACTGGAACTGTGCTTGAAAACAATTCCAAGTCACAAATGTAACCTTTAGTTTTCTAGACTGTCCATTAATACCACCCTATCTAGAACATGTTCCATAGAACATTGTCTATATGGTCAGAAACTTACTTTAAGTCAAGAGGTAATTCAGAGGGAAAAATCCAGCGAGGGGGAGGGGGAGCACATTTCAAAGAATTCTCACAAAGCAAACAGCTGTGCCATTACTACTGAGTTCAAGAAACAGAATATCATGAGCATTCCAAAAGCTTCCCTCTAAGTTTTCTCCAAATCACAAATTCTACCTTTCTCCCAAAGGTAACTTTCTCTTCTTTATAATTTTATGCCCCATGCATAAGTAAATAAATAAACACTAAATTTCATTTTTCCTGTTTTCAAAGTTTTTATTTATAAATAGAATAATTTAATTCATATTCTTTTGTGTCTAGCTTCTTTCCATCTACATTATGCTTATGAGATTCATATATGTTGGATATAACTACAAATCCATTCGCTGTCACTGCTGTATAAGGTTCTATTATATGACTATATCACAACTTCCTTGTCTTTTCTACCACTAAAGGACATTTAATGTTTCCATTTTGGGTTTCAGTTTTGGGCTATTATAATGCTGCAATGAATATTCTTATACACATCTTCTGGTATACATGTCTGTTGTGTGGATACATATGGGTAGAACTGCTTATCTTTTTAACCAGAAAACTATATTCCAAAGTAGTGGTATTAATTTACACTCTTATCAGCAGTGTTTGAGAGCTGGTATTACTCCATTAGCCTAACCATCACTGTCAGTCTAATATTAGCTATTCAGATGGGTGTGCACTAATATCATATGGTTCTAATATATATTTCACTGACGACAAGTGTGGTTGATAAGTTTTTCATATAGTTATTGGCTATTTGGATATCCCTTTTGGTGAAGTGCCTATGAGTGTGGACTATTTTTACCAAACTGTTTTCTTCTTCTTCTTCTTTTTTTTTTTGGAGTTGGAGTCTCACTCCGTCGCCCAGACTGGAGTGCAGTGGCCGCTCCCGGCCACCGCAGCCTCGACCTGCTGGGTTCCGGCGATCCTTCCGCCTCAGCCTTCCAAGTAGCTGGAATTACAGGCATGCGCTATCACGCCCGGCTGATTTTTTTTTTTTTATTGTAGAGATGAGATCTCACTGCCCAGGCGGGTCTCGAACCCGCGGGCTCAGGCAATCCACTCACCTCAGCCTCCCAAAGGCACGGGATTACAGGTTGAGCCACCGAGCCCGGCTTGTTTTCTTCTTAATGACTTGCAAGAGTTCTCTATTTTCCGGATTGAGCCCTTTTGTTGGTTATATGAATTATAAACACTTTCTATTCAAAGCTTGCCTTTTCACTCTCTTAATGGTGTCTTTTGATGGAACTAAAGTTCTTAATTTTAATGAAATCTAACTTATCAATTTTTCCTTTATATGGTTAGTGCTTTCTTTATCCTATTTAAATACTTTCCTTACACCAAAGTCATGAATATATTCACCTTTATTATCTTCCAAGGGCTATTTTTTATTGTTTTGCTTTCAAATTTACTTCTAAAGTCTGCCTGGAAATGTGGTGAGAGGTAGGTGCCAAGTTTCATATGGCTATCCAATTGTTCCAGCACCATTTACTGAGCAAACTATTTTTCTCTCACTGCTCTGCAATGTCATCTTTGCTATAAAGTGTTCATACATGTGTGAACCTGCTTCTGGGTTCTTTATTCTATTCAATTCTATTGGTCTATTTGTCTTTTCTTGCACCAATATCACATCTTTTTTTTTTTGAGTTGAAGTCTCACTCCTTCGCCCAGGCGATCCTTCTGCCTCAGCCTTCCAAGTAGCCACAACTACAGATGCATGCTACCACGCCCGGCTATTTTAATTTTATTGTAGAGATGAGGTCTCGCCAAGTTGCCCAGACTGGTCTCGAACCCGCGGGCTCAGGCAGTCCACTCGTCTTGGCTTCCCAAAGTGCTGGGATTACAGACTGAGCCTGGCCAAGTATCATATCTTTATAAAATACATCTTTTTCTTTTTTTTGAGTTGGAGTCTCACTCTGTCACCCAGACTGGAGTGCAGTGGCACACTCTCCGTCACTGCAGCCTCGACCTGTTGGGCTCCGGCGATCCTTCCGCCTCAGCCTTCCAAGTAGCTGGAACTACAGGCGCGCGCTACCATGCCTGGCTAATTTTTTGATTTATTGTAGAGATGAGGTCTCGCCAAGCTGCCCAGCTGGGTTGTGAACCCATGGGCCCAGGCAATCCACTCACCTTAGCCTCCCAAAGCGTGGGATTACAGGCTGAGCCACCAAGCTCAGCTTATAAAATACATCTTAATATCACTGGTGGTGCAATTCCTCATGCCTTATTCTTTTTTTTAAGTGTCGTGAGAAAACAAACAAACAAAAAAGCCCCCCAAAACAGTAAGTAGCCTAAGAGGGCTGAAACAGATTAGCCTAAAAAGGAGGGGGAAAATATGTATATATGTAATATATATTACACTGTGCCTATTGTTAAACAATTCACTTAATACATCTTAGAAATATCTTCAAGTCAGTGCTCAGTGAGTTACCTATTGTTTTAACTGTTATGTAATGTTTCCTACTATGACTGTTCCATGTCCTTTACTACAGGACATTTAGGCTGTTTTCAGTTTTATGCTTTCACAAACAATGTTGCAATTACCAGTACAGTATATGCTCTTTCATGCACATGTGCAAATGTTTCTCAAGGTTAGATGCTGGAAATAGAATGCAGGGTCAAAGAGCATGCACATTTCAAAATTGATGCAATCTAATTGTTCAATTGTTTTTTGTTCCTTTTTTAATAGTTGCTAATCTAATGAGAAAATGATATCTTAGTATTTAATTGTATTTTTTACATTGAGATTTTTGTTTCGTTTTACAGTGAGATTTGGCATATTTTTCTTTGCTGTTGGCCATTTGCATTTCTGTTGCTGTAACTTGCCTCTTTATATCCTTTGCCTTTCCCCCTTTTTGCCTTTTTCTTATTGAATTATAGGAATTATTAATATTGAATTATTAAATTGTAGGAATATTAATTATTTACTTGCAATACATGTTGCAGATTTAAAAAAAGGCAAAGGGCAAGTTACCTCCCTGGTAAGGGAGGGTGAGAGTGTCTTGGGGCTTTAGGTGGCTCAGCCTGTAATCCCACGCTTTGGGAGGCTGAGGAAAGTGGATTGCCTGAACCCGCAGGTTTGAGACCCGCCTGGGGTTTCATCCCTACAATAAATCAAAAAATTAGCCAGGCGTAGTAGTGCATGCCTGTAGTTCCAGCTACTAGGAAGGCTGAGGTGGAAGGATCGCTGGAGCCCAGCAGGTCGAGACTGCAGTGGCCGGGAGCAGCCACTGCACTCCAGTCTCGGTGACAGAGTGAGACTCCAACTCAAAAAAAAAAAAAAAAAAAAAAAAAAAGATTGTGAGTTTTATTTTATTCCAACTATATGTTCCCATTCCAAGTTTTTTGTTCTTGTTCTTCCCTGATTGTATTGTCAATTTTTAAAATTTCATATTTTTTTGATGCCTCAACATCCGAGCAGCCCAAGTAATATGCTGCGAGCAACCTGCTTAGATGACAGGTGCACTAGTGTGGTAAGACTGGTCTCTTTCTTGCTCTTCCCTGATTGTGACTTAATGATATTCAGATGCACCAATGAAATCTGCTCTTGACTTTTGCTTGTGTATACCCTAAAGATTCCAAGTAAAGGCACTTGCCCATGAGGGTCCCTGCTTGGTAGAGCCTGTGGTCTTGGTTATTCTTGGTGCTTCGAATCTCTACATGTGAGAATCAGCTTATCAAGTCTCATACATACACGCGTGCACACACACACATACAGAGCATATTTTCTGAATTGTGCATTGAATCCATAGATTAGTATGTACAGAACTGGTACAGAATTTTGAACAAGGTCTATTCTATTCCTTTCAATATTTAAGTCTTTTAAAATTTCTACCAGTATTTTGTTTGCCTTGTATATAATTTTTAAAGTTCATTCCTAGTTATTTAATTATTTGGTACTATAATAAATGATATCTGTAGTGGGTTGAATGGTGGCCTCTAAAAAGGTATGTCCATGTTCTAAACTCTGAAACCAGTAAATGTGATCTTAATTTAGCAAAAGGGTTTTTGCAGATACAATTAAGTTGAGGATGTCAAGATGAAATCATCCTGGGTCATCGGGTGGGCCATAATTCAATGACAAATGTCCTTATAAGACAAAGGCAGAGAGAGAAGGAGAAGATCATGTGAAGAAGCAGAGATTACAGTTATACATTCACAAGCCAAGGAATGCTTGGAGCCACCAGAAGTTAGAAGAGGCAAGGAAGGATTCTCCCCTAGGACCTTTTGAAGAGTGTATGATTCTGTTGAAACCCTGATATGACTCTGGCTTCCAGATTGTGAAAGAATACATTTCTGTTGTTTTAAGCCACCAAGTTTGTAGTAATTTGTTAGAGTAGTCCTAGGAAACTAATACAGAAACTTTTTAATAATTTTCATTTTCTCATGTTGCTGTTATAGATTAGTGAGGCTTGTTGTAGTAAAACATTCAACTCCTCATATATACATTTGCTCTGGTGGGGATCCCCTTCCCTCCCCCACCCCAGAGATTACAGTGCAATACTCCAAGCCCTTCAGCCTCATCTTGGAAATTAACTAGAAGCGCTGCTCTCGTTTATTTGTAAAATTAGGACATTAAACTCCAAAGAGCTCAATCAGCTATCTAGTGACAGAATTAGAATGAAAACATAGGCTGCTCAATTCCTAGTTCAGTGCTCTTTTTACTCTACCAAGTTGCCACTACATATACCTGATGACTATCTCTTTAACAATTATCAATTGATCATTTTCAAATCTTCCTTTTAAAAAACAAAAAAATCAGTTGACCTTTAACTTGCTTTGCCCTAGAACATTCTTGTGTCCTTCCCCCAAAACAAAACAACAAAAACCACATAAAACAAACCTTTTGCAAAGTCATCCATATTTATGTAGTAGAGAAGACGTACATGACTAATGAACACATAGGAGACACAAATTGTGTGTGTGCGCGCGCGCGCTGTTTTTAAAAAAAATTTTTTTAGAGACAGGGCCTCACTTATTTCCCAGGCTGGAGTGCAGTGGCTATTCACAGATGCAATCATGATAGTACATTATAGCCTTAAATTCCTAGCCTCTAGGGATCCCCTACCTCAGCTCCTAAGTAGCTAGGACTACAGGCACACGCTACCATGCTCAGCTTAGGAGATACAAACTTCTTTTCTTTTTTTCTTTTTTGAGTTGGAGTCTCAGTCTGTTGCCCAGGCTGGAGTGCAGTAGTATGTTCTCGGCCACCCCAGCGTCAACCTGCTGGGCTCAGGTGATCCTTCTGTCTCAGCCATCCAAATAGCTGGAACTACAGATGTGTGCTACCATGCCTGGCTAATTTATTTATTTATTTATTGTAGAGATGAGGTCTCACCAAGTTGCCCAGGCTGGTCTTGAACCCATGGGCTCAAGTAATCCCTCACCTAGGCCTTCCAAAGTGCTGGGATTACAGGCTTGAGCAACCGCACCCAGCTAAGACACAAACTTTTAAAGAAAGTAGTATTCAGATGCATTGGCTATCCTGCTGGTTCTTAATATATGAGTGAGAGCCGGGCTTGGTGGCTCAGCCTGTAATCCCACGGTTTGGGAGGCTGAGGTGAGTGAATTGCCTAAGCCCGCGGGTTCGAGACCCACCTGGGCAACTTGGCAAGACCTCATCTCTACAATAAGTAAAGAAATTAGCCGGGTGTGGTAGCGTGCGCCTGTAGTTCCAGCTACTTGGAAGGCTGAGGCGGAAGGATGACCCAAGCCCAGCAGGTCAAGGCTGTGGTGGCCGGGAGCAGTCACTGCACTCCAGTCTGAGCGACAGAGTGAGACTCCAACTCAAAAAAAAAAAAAAAAAAAAATATATATATATATATATATATATATGAGTTAGGAATGTCATTTGACACATTGGCCAACACATATGATTCTAAATGCTGGCTCTGATCACCTACATTAGCATACACCACACTTTGAAAATGCATTCAATAAAGATGCTACAAAGACAGAAAATGGTTGTTTCACAAATGACATTGGCTAGACCAGCAGTAAGTTGCCTAACATTTAACTAACCATTTTCCGATGGATTGCAATGATGTAGCCTGTGGAGGGGTTGTCAGGAAGAGATGGCATATGACCATTCACCATTCCATTTGTGAAGCTCTTCTCAGTTCCACATGGTACAATAGTGCTTGGCATTCCATTGGGGATGAATATTGGTCGAGGCAGGTCCCCATTGGTAGTTAGGGTGAATATTCCATTTGTAGATGGGGAAGAGGAGAAATCTACAAATCAAAGATAAGTACAGCATCATAAGCTTGTGGTAACCTTATCTTTGCTCTTTTCTCAAGTATCCTGAGGACCTGGATCATTGACATTGCAGATTCTTTTAACATGGGGCAGCAAGAAATCATATTCTTGGAATGTACTGCTTGATTTATTGGAAGATTTTAATCTCAGGTTTTACTTCCACAACTCACACTTTTAACTAAATGGCAAAGGAAGGCTAACTACTGGAAACTGTTAAGGAGAATTTTTATAGAAACCTACATCAGCAACATATTGTGGCAAGCAAACAGGTCTACAACTTGTTCTCTTTATCCTCTCCTCTAAAAATGCATTTCTCCCGTCCTCTAAAAATGCTTTGTTCAATATAGTAGGCTTTAGCCAGATGTTGCTTTTAAACTTTAAATTAAAAGAAAAATGTAATCCCTTACTTTCACTAGCCACATTTTAAGTGCTTTACAGCCCGTGTAACTGTTGGATACTACTGGAAAGCAAAAACCATAGAAGTTTCCATTATCGTAGAGTTCTATTGGAAAGTGATACTCTAAACAAAAAGCAACATTAAATCACCCACCATCAGTGGGTATACTACTATGTGCCAATGAGAGGAGCTTCATTTTCTATGAAGCCCTTTACAGTTTAATATTAACCCAGTCTAATTATAAGCAGTAGAAAGAATAGACAAAGCATACAAATGGACAAAAAGGACTCACTGAATGACCATATTAAATCACACACAATACTGGATAAACAGATTCCTTCTTAGTTATATCTATTGTTTAATTTTCTGTTAGTATGTTTTCCTCATACTATCTGTTGCCATGTTAGTATTAGATACAAGAGTAAAAAGAGATCTGAATTCTAGTGGTATACTAGCTAATAACTACCTATCTAACAGAATCACTTAGGTTCTCTGAATTTTAAGTTTCTCATCTATAAATTGAGGCATACTCAGTACGGTTTTCTTTAAGTTCCAAAGTTCTTTTGCTTTAATATCTTCAACATAAACAAACATAAAAAAGATGACAACCCTTAGGCCAATATTTAAAGCTGAGAGCACATGAAAAGGAATTCTGGCTCTCTCTTACCTGTCTGTATTGGACTAGAAGTTGAAACTGGAGATGCAGGAACAGGGATTTCAAATGCACACAAAAACCCACTCACTGACAGTCGTACTTTTTGGTTATCCTGAGGGAAGTTCTACAGAAAAAGCAACAAGATGAGAAGGGGGGAATGTTTCAGATGAAATGGAAAAACTACCTCTCTGATGTATTTGGAGAGAATATCTTAGATATTTTAATCAGTAAAACAAATAAGACGATTGAATAATTTTTCTCAACTAAGTAAAAGACAAATGCTTTATACAATAACTGAAAACTAACCTCATTGCCAAAGAAAACTGTCATCTCTTTCCAAAGAAAAAGTATGATGTATGACTGACTTCTTATGTCCTTTGTTTCAAGTATCTAAACCCCAAACCCTCAGAGAGATCTTGCTTTTGAGATTAAGAAAATGTCAGTGAGGTGAGAGTTTGCTCAGAAACTCCAGCGATGAATATAAATAACAGTAATGGTAGAAGTTTAATTAATTAATTAATTAATTTAGAGACAAGGTCTCACTCTGTCATCCAGGCTGAAGTACAATGGCATAATCACAGATCCTTATAGACTCAAACTCCTGAGCTCAAGCGACCCTCCTGCCTCAGTTTCCCAAGTAGCTGGGACTACAAGCATGTACCACCACACCTTAATTTTCCAATATTTTGTATGTTTCTCAGGCTGATCTTGAACTCCTGGGCTCAAGTGGTCCTCCTGCCTTGGCCTCCCAAAGTGCTGGAATTATAGGCATGATCCAGCATGTGGTCAAAGCTTAATTTAGAATAGGCAGTAGATTTATTATTTATTTTCTCAAATAGGGGAAGACTTGACTGGTGTCAATTTGTCTTTACTAATTTCTTCGTGTGTTGCAATATATATATATATGAATACTAAAAGTACACATTCATAAATACATAAAATACTTTAACTTAGGAAGAATTCTAGTGACAGAGCCGAGCCAGGCACAGTGGCTCATGTCTGTAATCCCAGCACTTTGGGAGGCTGAGGTGAGAGGATTGCCTGAGTCCATAGGTTCAAGATCAGCCTGTGCAACATGGTGAGACCTGATCTTCACATTAAATCAAAAAAGTAGCTGGTGTGGGGGCATGTGCCTGTACTTGGAAGGCTGAGGTGGAAGGATCGCCTGAGCCCAGCAAGTCGAGGCTGCAGAGGTCATGAGTGTGCCACTGCATACCAGCCTGGGTGACAGAGTGAGACTCCTACTAAAAAAAAAAAAAAAAATACAGAAGAGCTATCAAGTGCAGCAGTAGCTGTCTCTGGAGGAAACCTTTTCTATAGTGACATAGCTAAGCACTCTATATAGGCAGCCTTACATATTTCCCTTCTTTAATAATACTGCCATCATTATTACTCCTTTATTCTGGTAGAAAACACTTTTAAGTTTCGGGGTCAGAAAACTTGGTGAGTTTTTTTATTCAGTTTTTGTTATGTTTTAATGTCTCCCTTGGTCATTAAACATAACAATTAATTGATAACAATAATTGAGAATGCTTCAATCTTTGAAAGATGAAAGCAAAGGTTTCTTAGAAAGAGTAGTTAATTTTACCTTTATGTTAGAACCATGTACTTCTGCAAGAAGAATTTGTTCTGAATTAAATCCACAGAGATCGCTCAGTTGTTTTTTTAAACCTGTGTACTTTTCATCCATATTCAGTCTTAGTCCATATCGTACAGGGGTGGTACCATCTAACTTAATTACTAGTAAAGAGAAAAGATCTTTTATCAGTAAAATGCAGGTTTCATTGAAAGTCTTACACACAATATACAGATATATCTGACTTGCAGATAGCCAACATTTCAGCTTAGAATGTTTATTTTATATGTAAATGCTAAAATAGATGGCACTTAGGGATAATATTGAGTGAAATCAATTTTATCAATTTTTTTGTATGTTCATCTGATATAGAAGCATGAGTGGCTTTTCAAAGTTTTAAAGAACGTTTCTAGCATGTTTGAAACTAAATCTTTCAAACCTCCAGCCATGCCTAAAACTAGACTGCTAGATTATAATATGCTGACCACTGATCTTTATGAGAACATATTATGAACAAATAACTACGCTTACAAATTCAGGCTGTTTAAATAAGGTAAAATTAAATGAAGTCAAGTAATTTTTCAGAACTTTGTGACCCACCTGTTATTTCTAAGTGCATATAACTGTCCATTGGTAGTGGCAAAGACAAAAAATTGAAGGGATCAAATCGGACACTAATATGACCACATGTCTTGCATTTGACTTGAGATCTTAGCTGCCCATGGAACAAATCCACAACAATTGATCTATTTCTTCTTAGATGGTTGTCCCAGGCCTAGCAATGGAAAAGATTACAGGTTTTCCTTCTCAAAACTCAAAAGATACGCAAACTAGTTATATATATCAGATTTAAATGTAAAAAATATAACCCTTCATCTTCAGTTAAAATATAAATGCCTAGCCAGGCTCGGTGGCACAGCCTGTAATCCCGCACCTTTGGGAGGCTGAGGTGAGTGGATTGCCTGAGCCTGTGGGTTTGAGACCCGCCTGGACTACTTGGCGAGACCTCATCTCCACAATAAATCAAAAAATTAGCCGGGCGTGGTAGCGTGCGCCTGTACTTCCAGCTACTTGGAAGCTGAGGTGGAAGGATTGCCGGAGCCCAGCAGGTCGAGGCTGTGGTGGCTGGGCGCGGCCACTGCACTCCAGTCTGGGCAACAGAGTGAGACTCCAACTCAAAAAAATAAAATTAAAAATAAATTAAAAAAATAAAAAAATATATAAATGCTTGCCGGGTTCGGTGGCTCAGCCTGTAATCCTGTGTTTTGGGAGGCCAAGGTAAGTGAATTGCCTGAGCCCACGGGTTTGAGACCCGCCTGGGCAACTTGGCGAGACCTCATCTCTACAATAAGTAAAAAAAAAAATTAGCCGGGTGTGGTAGTGCATGCCTGTAGTTCCAGCTACTTGGAAGGCTGTGGCGGAAGAATCGCCGGAGCCCAGCAGGTCGAGGCTGTGGTGGCTGGGAACGGCCACTGCACTCCAGTCTGGGAGACAGAGTGAGACTCCAACTCAAAAATAAATAAATAAAATAAAATATAAATGCTTTCTGTTACAAATTTATAATTTAGGTATGTAATTTATAATGTACTACCTACTGAGAGAATGTAGAAAACCAGTAATTAAATAGAATATGATTATTTATGCTTAACCTACAAAATATTAACATTCATATGGAAAATCTTATTTTTTTTGTTCTTACCATGGAAACAATGATGAATATGAAAATCCTTTGTCCATTAAAATATAGATAAAGCATGCCTATAGGCTACTGTATACATGGCTTCAGTAATTATGGGAATTCTTTAAATTCTACTGGATAATTATTTCTACATCTGGTTCCATAAAGTTTACAATGTGAAATAGCAATAATTTTCTATTTTCACTAAAGGTGCTTTTGTTTGCTATTACTACATAAGCATGAAGTAAAGAAATAGAAATTTCTTTGTTTTCACAGTAAACTCAGATCTCAGAGTAGTACAGTTTACACTTAACTTGTGCTACATGTATTTGTGATCAGAACATTTTATGTACTGCTTACATTAGAAACTCAAAACTGACAAACCTCTGCAGCTACTTCCCAGTCTGGTCGGCCATCACTGTCCTTCAGTTCCACATATGGCTTTTCATGGACTCGGTTGAGATCTTCATGAAGACCATCCAAGAGAAAAGCCAGAAGTTCTTGGGAGTCTTGTTGCTGGAACCCATTAAACCTGGGAGCATATTTTGCTATGGTCCACTATAAACGTAAAAGGAGTCATAGTCATTATTTCCAACCCCATAGAATTTGGAATGAACATGTCCCATAATTCAATCAGAGGCATTATAAGAAAGTGAGTAATACAGCATTTAGTCTGCTTCTATCTCAACAAATATATTTTGGATAATCATGAAATCTTTTAAATCTTAATCCCAAGTAACCAAAAACAACAAAAAAAAAGATTTTGGCCAATACTGTGTCGCAGTTCAGTAACACACAAGCAAACTGATTTCTTTAGGCACACAAATGTTATTTAAGACATAAATATTAAAATAGCATTTGCTCACATTGAAAGACTTTCTGTCCATAATGTTTTATATTTATATAAAATATGTATGTTTTATAGGCATATAAAATAATATATGCATATGTTATTGTCTATCTAATAACATTACTTTATAGAACATAATGTTTTCTTTTCTTTTTTGAGTTGGAGTCTGACTCAGTTGCCCAGACTAGAGTGCAGTGGCCGCTCCCAGCCACCACAGCCTCGCCTGCTGGGCTCCGGCGATCCTTCCGCCTCAGCCTTCCAAGTAGCCGGAATTACAGGCATGCACTACCATGCCCGGCTGATTTTTTGATTTTTTGTAGAGATGAGGTCTCTCTGCCCAGGCGGGTCTCGAACCCGTGGGCTCAGGCAATCCACTCACCTCAGCCTCCCAAAGGCGCAGGATTACAGGCTGAGCCACCGAGCCCGGCTAGAACATAATGTTTTCTTACAGATACCTTTTCTGGTTTTGTTGCATCCTAATTTTTATTATTAAAGGCAGAATAGCACAGTGTTTAACAATGAGGATTTACTAGCTTATAACCTTGGGCAAGCTATTTAATCACCTGAGTTTTCTGAGTCATAAAATAGGGATAATAACACTGCATTACATTACAGGATTATTTAAAGAATTAAATGCATTAGTATATATAAAATAATTAGAATCATGCCTGACAAGTGGTAAACAGTCTAATTTTTACCTGTTATAGTTATTAATTTTTAACCTAAAAAGCTTTTGTCTTGTTTTTAAATACAAGTAATGAATAATCCTATGTTCACTAACATGTATTATATGTTATTAATATAAAACTTGCATTACCTGCTTTTTTTTATATTTCATGGATAAAACTAATTACCTAAAATATTGAGAATGTATTGGGTATAATTAATCAGACTCTGAGGTCCACTCTGCAGTTAAACTACTGCTAATAGTAAAGGAAGACCAAAAAAGTTTACTCTTCATATTAGACATTTGATAAATTAGTAAAATGAATGACATCCCAAGTTGAGACTATCTTTTCCTACCCAGTACATATTTTGCATATATTTAAACAAGCAAAAGTATTTGATATCTGGTTTATAACTAGCGAGGGACCCAAAAACACTTATTAAGCCAAAAAACTAAACACAGAAAACAAGTAGAGAAAAATGATTAAACAACTATTTGGGAATTAAGTACTTTTATATTATTTTAACCTGCTTACCCGAAGCTTTAAAGGGGCAACATTCTTCTGAGTTCCACTCCAAAGTTCCTGTACTAAATCACCATAGCATTTAGCCATATGCCCCTTCATACCAATGGGATTTGTCCTAGAAGTTTGAGAGAAAAATTTGTTGCCAAAGAGTCTCATAAATCACAATCACGTGGACATAGAAATGCCTAGCATCTCACATCAAAATATCTTTTCTTTCTGAAACAAGAGAAGTGTTCCTTGGCTCTTATTTCATACTAAATAGGGCAAATAAGAGAAAGAGGAGATTTAGGTGATATTGGGTTTATATCAAAGTCATAAAAGGTTAAGAGGTCAATGGCTCAAGAAAGATCACCTGTTGAGTTCATAAAGATGTCTCCCTGAGATAAAATACTGCGTCAGTGGCTGTGTGTTACTAACGCACTGGATGCTTGAGTTCATAAAGCATGTGTTTCCCAGGTTGCTCAGACCTGTGGCTCCCTTTTCTGTGGGAACTGGAACAAACAAATATGAGAAGCAAAGTTTAGCTGTAGTAATATGCCATAGAACAAACAGTTACTTATATTCAGTGCAATGATTTTTATAACTCTTTTAAAAATCAGCTAAATGGTGCTAATCTTTTTCTAGCAGGTTTTTTTTTTACTTTTAATTTTTTTATTTTAAAGATGAGGGGTACAATTCAGGGTTAGGTATACAAATGCTCATTATGCAGGTGCCCTTGTTGATGAGGTGTGCCCCCCCTTCCCCAGGCAGACTCCCACTACTGTCAATCCTTTTCTTATAGCATTACAATAATTGTTCAAGGTCCACTTATGAGTGAGAACATGTGATACTCAGTTCTTTGTTTCAGTGAAAGATCACTCAGTATTATAGACTCTAAGTCCATCCAGGTTTCTAGCAGGTATTTCAAATGTAGAAAAAGTTTTTCATGGAGTGTCTGGCAATCATGATGATCCTTGTCATTTATAAGCCAGAAGTAGCAATTCTCTATAATTGCTATGATTAAAAAAAATAATTTAAACAACTAGTAGTATGTTTTTAAAAACATATAAATTATTTAATTGCAGAGTTAGTAATTTAGAAAATAATATGAAGTTGGAATTAGCAACATCAAATGATACGTCAGGAAAAAAGGAGAGAGGGCCTAATGACTTTTAATTTTTATTTATTTATTTTTAATGTTTTAAAAATTTCAATAGTTTTAGAGGTACAAATGGTTTTTGGTTACATGGAGGCATTCTATAGTGGTAAAGAAGTCTGAGCTTTAAATGTACCATCAATTAGAGTCTAATAACTTTTGAAATAGAAACCCAAAAGTTGTTAGCACTTTAATCATTGAAAGAAGGGGGAAAAAAGAACATATTTAAAATAATCTCTTTAAAAATAACATACTAGAGACTTACCCTTGTGTCTATCTATTTTACTACTATTTGCTATAAAAGACATCTCCTCAGGCCAACTCATATCTTTGTTGCGAACTGGAAAGACAGATAGGAATGTGTTAATTTCTTATCCATCCAATTCATAACCACTCAATTGCTTTTTTGTTGTTTTTAAAAAGTTCTTATTTCGAAATCAGAAACTGAAAAAAATCTAGTTGATTTTAATACATGTGTCTCTTAATGACAGGTATACATTCTGAGAACTGTGTTGTTAGGTGATATTGTCACTGTGTGAACATGGTAGTGTGTACTTACACAATCCTAGGATATATGGTACAGCCTATTGATCCTAGGTTACAAACCTGTACAGCATGTTACTGTACTGAACACTGTAGGCAATTATAACACAATGGTAAGTACTTGTGTATATAAACATAGAAAAGATACAGTAAAAATAGTTTTATAATTTTATGGGACACCACTGTCATATATAGAGTCCTTTGTTGACCAATATATCTTTTTTTTTTTTTTTTTTGAGTCGGAGTCTCACTCTGTCTCCCAGGCTGGAGTGCAGTGGCATGCTCACAGCCACCTCAGTCTCAACCTGCTGAGCTCAAGCAATCCTTCCACCTCAGTCTTCCAAGTAACTGGAACTACAGGTGCACACTACCATGCTCAGTTAATATTTTTGATTTATTGTAGAGACAAGTTGCCTATGCTGGTCTTGAACCCCGAGCTCAGGCAATTCTCTAACCTCAGTCTCCCAAAGTGGTGGGATTTACAGGCATGAGCCACCATGCCTGGTCAACCAATACATCTTTATGTACGCCTGCAACTGACTCTGAAACCATTCCTACTCTTTATATTAGAGTGCAAATAGAAATATTATAATTATTTCTTAAACTGTATTAATTGTCAAAGCAATCTATTTATTTTAAGCTAACAATGTTTGCATAAATCTTGATAGGGAAAGACACATTTTAAGTTTTCAATGACGTGGGTACCAATGTGTAAATCTATGTGTACACAAGTCGCTCTCTCATTGAGTAGCCAGTTTTGATGATTAATGAAAGCCTGTGCTATTAACTATGCAAGTTCTCTTTTCTGAAACTCAAAGAGGCAGCTTGAAAATTTTAAGAAACTTTGTAAACCTGTAACTGAATTCACTTGTTTTTACCCACCATCCTTACCCTTTGTCAGCCAATGACTATAAACAGGATTCCTTTCTTTTAAAATAATCTAAATGTATGGTTGGATTATAAAAGAGTTCAATGAGTTTTTCTTATCATAAAAAAACTAATGATCAAATAAAAGTTGTCTTGGGAAAAATTATAAAATAAATTATTGGTAATTCTTTAAATTCTTCCCCTAAAAATCTAACATAGATGGATGCTTCCATTTTTGTACCTTCAATTACCAGGTGCTGTTCATCCTGGATTTTCAAATATTCCAATCTATGATCCTCATCATCCAGGAGTGTAAGATAATTCTGTGTAAGAGGAAGAAAATATTTTTGTTAATTTGGTTCGTAATCTTGAAACAAATACATAGATAAAGATGAACAGCAATTAAAAACTTCCCTGTAGTTATATAATTAATGTCTCAGCTATTTGGTCTACTATAGTTATTTATAAATATTTATAATTTAGGAGGCAAAATGAGAAAAAGATAATATGTATCTCATAAATATTCGCTATGTCCCTAAAACAAAATTAGATAAAATTTTTGGGAAACCAAGAGAAGATCCATTGCACACCAAACCAGTGTTCACTGAGAATTAAATTTTCTAAAGATCTTATAGAAAAGAAGTTTCCTTTAGTGTCAAATATGACATTCAGCAAATGTGATGAATGGAATTTGATTACTTACTAGGAACTGACAATGTAAAATCATATGTCATACAGTAGAATTATACATTCTTGTTTTTGCTCACCCTAAAATGTTTAGAAAATGAATTCCTTTAATTCTCACAACTACCCTGAGGAAGCTACTATTATTTTCCTGTTTCATCATGAGGAAATCGAAGCACAGAGAGTTAAGTGACTTGCCCTTAGTTATACAACTAAAAAGTGGCAGAGCAGGATTTAATTCCTGGCAGTATGGCTTCAAGAGCTGTGCTCTAAACTATTATATAATACTGACTCTCAATTGTGACCAAAGGAGGATGTCAAAAAGAATGCACTAGGGAATAGAAAACTGATTAAAACCATACTTATGATCCAGTTTCAGAGCATAATCTGTATTAGATATGTCAGGAATATATTACCAATTAATAGCATTGCCTCTGAGGAGAGTATAAGATAGGGATTAGAGGATGGGAAGGAAGAATTCTCACTGAACTACTTCTGTACTATTTGAATTTTTTAACACATGTATGAGGTAACTTAAAGCAAATCCAAAATGTATTAAATACAAAAAAAAAGAAGAAAGATATTTGCCATTACTTTATAACAATGATCTTTGCAAGATAGTGCTGTCCATGATGATGAACTGTTATTATGAATCTCAGGTGACAAATATTTACATGTATGCATAAAGTATACATGTAAAAGAAGAAGTTTTCACCGAGATCCTAGACATGACTTTCAGCATAATTACTACAAGCAAAAACCCCATACTCATGAACTGTAACACTCAGACGCTTCATGACTCTGAGATGCCTCTTACCTCACTGTTGTATAGCCACAAGCGCATATCTTCTTCTTTAATGCGCAGCCTTTGAGATAGATATTCATGAATTTCCTTGATGGTCTGCATTCGACTAAAACAGCCTGTATAGGCTAATACTCGCTTTAAAGGTGCATTCGGAGAAGGTACATTTCCTATGGTTATAGTAATCACAATAAGGAAAAAGATAGATATAAAATAAAAAGCACCCCTCTCAGCAGTGGGGACCACATTATTTTAGGAAATTATGATGAAAATGAGAATTACAGGTTTAATAATTTTATAAATGAACGGTACCATAAAGCTTTAAAATGAAGACAGGAGACTCTTAGATAGGTGAGTCCAAAGCCTCAATTTTGAAAAGAAGAACAAAAGTCTAGAGGCCCAAATAATTGACAATATTTGGATCCCAAGAAGAGAAGAAATATGTGAGCAAACAATAGGCATTGGTATCAATCTAGTTGCCCTTAGTTGGGTCAAACTGAATAGCAAAATGAAATAAAACTGAGTGTAAGAGCGGGGGAGATAAAATGGGGTTGGATTTGAATCCTACGGATAGATAACTAGATTGATTCACTTGATCTACTTTCTTAAAATAAACTTTTCTTGAATTACTAATCCCATCATTCTCAGTCATTAAGTAGCCCAATTACCTGGTATATTGGTACATTTACACAAGAAAAGAAAATGTATGTACATCTATTACCTATTTTTTTTTCGTTTTACAGAAATTTTGATTTAAAATTCTGGCCAGGATCAGTGGCTCAGTCTGTAATCCCAGCACTTTGGGAGGCTGAGGTGAATAGATTGCCTGAGCCTACGGGTTCGAGACCAGCCTGGGCAACTTGGCGAGACCTCATCTCTACAATAAATAAAAAATTAGCTGGGCACAGTAGCGTGTGCCCATAGTTTCGGCTACTTGGAAGGCTGAGGCAGGATCACCAGAGCCCAGCAGGTAACTGCTGGGGTGGCCGTGAGCAAGTTACTGCACTCCAGTCTAGGGAACAGAGTGAGACTCCAAATCAAAACAAACAAACAAATAAACAAAATTCTAAATTGGGCTGGGTACAATGGCTCATGCCTGTAATCCCAGCACTTTGGGAGGTCGAAGCAAGAGGACTCCTGAGCCCAGGAGTTCGAGACCAGCCTGGGTGATATGGTCTTGTCTCTACAATAAATAAAAAAATTAGCCAGGCATGGTGGTACATGCCTATAGTCTCAGCTACTTGGCAAGCTGAGGTGGAAGGATTGCCTGATCGTGCCACCGCACTACAGCCTGGGTGACAAAGTGAGACTCCAACACACACACATAAAAAAACCAACCAAATAAATAAATAAAATAAAATTCTAAATAGGTAAAGACTCTACATGGCCAAACAGAGTAATAAAAAGAAGCCAAGAAACTTCCCATGACCAAACAAATAAATAATTGCCCTACCGAAAAGTAGGAGGGGAAAAAAAATAATATGGTCTGCCCACCCAACAAGAAGACAGTAGACATGATCTTGAATTCCTAAAGGGCTCAAGGTGGAAACAAAAAGAGTGGCAATACAGGGAAAATAATTAAGAGTTAAGGAAGAATATATCAAGTCTATCTATATATTTCAAAAGAGAAGGGGGATAAAATGGTAAGAGATTATGAAAATCAAGGGACGTCTGTTTAAGAAACATGCTAAACCCTGGTTAATTATTCAGCCAAAAATCCAGACAAAAACTGTGGCTTAAAATGGTCATTTCTGCCTATGGGAGGCTATATTTATTGAGCAACCCAAAACAAAAATATAAATGTAACATCTCAATATAATCACTCTAGAGTACAAGTATACAGTCTAGACAATTTTCTACCAACGATGATTTAGCTTTTTTCCACCTATTAAATGAGTTTTCAGTGAGTTTTTACCCACTAAACAAAACTGAGAAAAATACTGGAATCAGCTATTTTTTTTTTTTTTTAGAACTTCCAAAAAGAATTCACTTACCTAAGGCTAAAAAGTCATCTATGAAACAATAACTTCTATAGCCTTGTCTATAGAAAAGGCTACACTTAAGTCATAACTGTGGCAAAGTATGAATACTTGTCACTTCAAAAGGAATAAAAAAAATACTACTAAATAGCTGTAATAAATTGAGTATTTGAGAAAGATGACCATTATGTCATGGCAGAAGAAAAACCCAACTGTGAACAATTTTTAAACACATAGCAAAGCAAATCTTTTACTATCAGCAAGCAAAAGGTAATTTCTAAAGGAAAACAAAAGAGCAAATTTCTCCAATTGTACATCAGAGGATTAGTTATAAGATTACAGCAAGAAAGCATATTTTTATAAACTTCAAAATGATTAATGACTGATTTCACAATTAATTAATAAGGAATAAAATTTCAAATTAGAAACAAATTTGGAGCATCTAAAACACACAGTTCTAGGATTTAGAAGCATATGCAAGTATAATTTTCAAGTCAATTTCTATTGTCCTAAGACACAATATGAAAATTTGAGTTCTAAAAAATTTTTGTAGCATAGCTCATTAAGCAAGGCAGCCACTTATTACACATAATTTTGAGCCTTTGAATAGCGCCAATAAATCTAGTGGAATTTATAGAAGCAGTAAAAATCTAGGATCAGCACAAGAGTTACAAGAATACTTACTAAAAGTGCAACAACACATCTTGCCTCTCATGATATCTTTCAAAGAAAATAGAAAAGGCCATGCTATGGGTGCCATGAAAGCAAGGTTAATACTTCTACTCAATGGAAAATTAAATCAAGAATGCTTCACTGCTCTTTGATTTTGATGTTTTCCCCCAAGACAAAGTTTGGTTATGCAGAAGCCACTGCTTTGCTATAATTCTTACCAAACAGTATTGAAAGAATCTTCATATATTGTCTGGATATAATCTTTAATGAAGACATGAAACTAACTCTGTTGCTAACACACAGTCTGTGACTTTGTGTAAGTGGACGCTCATTATTTCTTCGCTACTGAAGAATAATTTCAAATATTTGCAAGGCAAAAGCACAGAGCAAGTCTTGCATTTCAATAAAGTTTAACCTTGCAGAGAAATCAGAGGGGAACATTCTGCAAGTCATACATTCAAATGAGAACTTATTTATGTCATTTTGATAGACTTGGTGTTTTTCAAAGCAAATGTGTCACTTTCATTTTCAAAAATATCCCCTTTGCTCTGTAGTATGTCTTTTATAAAGCTTCCTTAGATCTAGCATTAGAAATGTATCATTTTGTAAAAAAACAAAACAAAACAAAAAACCAACAATAACAACACAATGAACAAAAAAGAGGATAGTGCAAAAGGAATAACTTCTTACAAATTTGAGTGGAATTGAAAAGACTAGTCAATTACCGCCAGACTACTACTTAGTCTAGTAACAATGGTTTATCTCAAAGAAATTAAGTAGATAAAATCTATTTCTATTTCATTATCTTCATAAGTTTACACACTTGAAAAGGAAACATCCTTTTCAGTTTGTTGCTGAGATTTTGCCTCTACCGCCCCATCCAGTCTTGCGCATGACCATAGATCTAAGTCCCATGAGTGATTTACTGATTCTGTATGAAAGCAGATGGGAATGTATATTAATACAGTGGCACCAGGCTTCGAGCAACTTGGCTTTCACTTTTTTTTAAAGGAAATGCATGGTATTCTTGCTGCATTCTTAAGTTACCTCTTGGTAAATGCTGAGGAAACATTCTGAGGCTCATCATACCCATATTCACCCAGATGTTAGACTGCTGTGTCCGAGTGGCAGGCTGCTGTCTCAGGAAGAGAAGATAACGAGGAAATAATTCCAGCTCTGGGATGTCTGTCTTGCTATTCTTGATCACCTGTTGTTTTAAAAGGTAAAAAGTAATCATTCAAAAAAGAAACAAAACTTGTCATTTTAATCTAACTTCTGAGATTTATCTTTAAAATGTCTAACAAGTTCACTACCTATATTTCAAGAGTACTGAAACTCATATATTTAAGTTGATAGGGTTGAACACTCTCAAGCTCTTTCTCCTAAACCCATCCTCCAAGATTGTAGGTGTTTTCTCTCCTTTCATTTAAAGGCAAGTAATAACAAAATTAAGAGGGAAAAACCTTAAATGTCATCTATAATTCTACTATTCTCATACCATAACTCTTTTCTCATTTAGATATTTCATATAACATGACTGCCTTTTTAGGGGCAAATTCATTAAACTGGAGTTACAAGTCAAAAACTAAGGAAATATTCAAGTCATTAACTAAAAAGTCATGTTGCCATCTAAAGTTTAGCAACTTATACTATTCCTAGTCATGTATGAGTATACTACTCTCACAAAACCTTAATGCTGAACATCATTTAAAAACACTCCCATTTCTTTAATACGAATAAAGAACATTATAAATTGCTTAAAAGTAATTCCTTGTATTAATAGGATAAAACTGTTTCCATATAAAAATGTACTGTGTTCTATTGTGCAATCAGTCTGTGTGTGTGTGTGTGTGTGTGTGTGTGTGTGTGTGTGTGTATTTTTGTCTACGATTTAAACAACAAAAAAGTAGACATATAAAACTGAAGTTTCACATTGTTGGGACAGTATTTTTAAGTAGTTCTAACCTGCTTACCAGCCTACAGGCATAGGGAAACATTTAATTATCAAAATATTGTTTTATGGATTTTAAGAATAGCACATTACCAATTTTATATTAAAAAAGGATAGCAGGGTTAACACTCCAACTCTTTAACAAAGGAAATCCTACAGAATATTTGCCAGTTTCAGGTAATCATTTTTTCCTTTACACCAGTAACAAATATCTTCTGCAACAGAGTATTCATTAATACCAAGAGGGGGCAATAAAGAGTCAGATAAAAACAATACTACTAACCAAATTTTAAGATTATTTCTTAAAAGTATTCTGCATGTTGTGATATACCATCATATGGCACTTGAAAGACTCCATTCAGGAGTTTTTTTTTAACTCCTATTTAAATGGTAAGCAATAAAAGGAGCCCTTTGACACTCTCCTCTAAGACCACTGGAAAAATCTGCCTACCTTGCCTAGATAGGCACTAACAGCTACAAAGGAAATAACCCCATCATTTTTTATGATTTGAGTTTAAGTGTGATTTTCAGAAAGATTAGTAATTCAGCATCTGTAGTTGTCAAATTGCATAAAAACATACCTCTGGCAGAATCTTAACTGATAATCGTTTTTATAATATGTATCTTGCTTTTCAAGATAACAAGTGATTTTGTGAGCAAATTACAGTTTAACAAATTCTCATACACACATGTACACACATATTTATACATTCATATACATTTTAATCATTCTTGTCTATAAACTTGTTAAACTTAATGTCACCGAGCCAACAACAGATGCCATATAATCCCTTCATCTAAAACCTAGTTTAGGTATAATCTTCATAGAAGGGAGTGAACATCTGTATCAAAATGTGAAATGTACAAATCTTTTGATATAGCTATTCCATTTACAAGTTTACCTGAAAGAGATTATCACACACATTTGGGAAGAGAATGTTCACAGTAAATTGCTTTAAGCAACTAAAAGCTAGGGGTAAACAAAATGTTCATCAGTAGGTGATTGGTTAATCAATGATTTATGTACATATGCATGTGTGCATATATGTGTGTGTAATATATATAAAGGAATACTATACAATTATCAAAAATGATGGTACAAGTCCAAATTTATTAACCTACAAAGATATCTACAGCATCTATGTTAGTAAAAATAGTACATCACAAAATATCAGGCATAATATGATTTAATTTCATAAAATTACCCACATATATTTATACATGTATATGGATAGGCACAGAGGAACGCCTGGAAAGATGAACAGCAAAATGTTATTAGCAGTTATCTCTAGATAGCAGGATCTGACATTATTTTTACTTTTTTTCTGTATTGCATAAATTGTTATTTAACATGTACCATATGTACAAATAAAACTACTTTTAAATAACAATGTGATTTATGTAAGTATGAAGGTAAAAGCACTTACTTTTACCCTTGCCATGGCTATAGTGTTCTCTAACTGGGAAAGACATATTTTAAATGTTTTCAAAGCAAGTTTTTCCTGAAATCAGGCAAATTTTATCAAATTTAGACATGAAAAATACTACTAAGCCAGCAAACATTAATCTAATAAATTATGGAGTTAAAACATTGATGTCAGATAAACAACCTTTTGTGAGGCTCTGACTAAACTCGCTTAATAATTACTGTATAATGATAATAATTAGCAATAGTGAACACTTACTGACTTACTAAACATCAGAAGATATGCTAGCCTTATGCATTATTTAATTCTCAAAACAATTCTAATGAGGTAGGTAAAGTTCTCAAGTTATAGATATGAAAACTAAGATTTACAAACTGGAACATTGGCAATCTGAATTCAGATAGGCCCTAGAATATCAAACTATATATAATATTGACCATAATACATCACAATATTTCCCCTACAGCTATAGAAGATTAAGATAGATCATGAAAGTCCCAGCAATTAAGTGACTAACTCAAGGACTGTTCCACCACCCTAATAAATAAAAAAAGAATATCTATATCTACCTCTGGGAGTCCTGATACCAAATACAGTAGGAACTTCTTTTTTTGAGTCGAGTTCTCAGTCTGTGACCCAGGCTAGAGTGCAGTAGCATGATCATAGCTCACCACAGCCTTGAACTCTTGGGCTCAAGTGATCCTTCTCCCTCAGTCTCCCAAGTAGTTAGGACTACAGGTGTGTGCCAACACGCCAAGCTAATTTTTTGTAGAGATGAGGTCTCATTATATTGTCAGGCTGGTCTCAAACTCTTGGGCTCAAGTAATCCTCCCACCCTGGCTTACTAAAGTGCTAAGATTATAGGCATGAGTCACTGTGCCCAGCCAGTAGGAAATTTTATAGCCAGTAAACACAAACCCTAAATTCCTGATTTCTACTTAAACATAATTTCTAATAAATGTAATTATTATTATTATTTTTTGAGTTGGAATCTCACTCTGTCACCCATGCTGAAGTGCAGTGGCACGCTCATGGTCACTGCAGCCTCGACCTGCTGGGCTCAGGCAATCCTTCCATCTCAGCCTTTCTTTCAAGTAACTGGGACTACAGGTGTGCACCACCACTCCCAGTTAATATTTTGGTTTACTGTGGAGATGAGGTCTCGCCAAGTTGCCCAGGCTGGTCTTGAACCTGTGGGTTCAGGCAATCCTCTCACCTCAGTCTCCCAAAGTGCTGGGATTATAGGCATGAGCCACTGTGCCTGGCCAAATGTAATTAATAATAACTCAAAATCAACATCAAAATTACAGACTAAGGTTTTATAACAGACTTTAACTCTCTTTAGAAGTCAACTTAGCATATTCTCATCTACATAACCCTTCCCAGCATAGGGAAGTTCTAGCTTGAACATTATAAAAGGAAGAGTGTTTCTAGATATACTAAAAAAAAGTCTTGTTGTAAGATATTTTACTACATCAACAACATAAAAAGTGAGTGTTCATGGAAATGAGTCTTGCTGTTTACTATATAAGCCCAACAAATGATGCTAATACTTACTAATATTTTAATGTTATATACTTCAAGTCCTTCACTAGCTTTGAGTTCCTGTTATATGTTGTGATTTTTTTGTATGTCCCTCTTTCAAAAGGATAAACCACAAAAATCTACCAAAAACTACAAGAAACAATCCCTAACTGGATGCCTGTGTGACTAATGGGAATATTAATAGTAGTTTAAGAAATAATCGCTGCAGCACTCCCTACATTTGCTGAACATTTTGGCACTGGCTCTGTCTGCCTTCCTCTCCAGTCTATGTTCTACATTATCATAGGTGGTCTGCGTTTATGTGGATGGCTCATTTAATAGCTTAGCCTCATAATTCTTTGCCTTTATTCTGTCCAGAGACTATTCTTTCATTTTCATGTTAGCTACCCACTTTCACAGGCATATCACTATGTGGTTAAAATCTAATATGGTACTCAATAAATCTTGAATGAATGTGAAGGAACCTAAAATTATTTGTTCAGCTAATTTAAAGAGGTTCTGAGTATTCTACCAAAAGGCAAGAACAACTTATGGATAGTGAGAATCATAAAGAAAAGTAATAGAAGACCCCATTTATGACTGCTCCTTATATAAAGCTCTTTTGGCTATACTTACTGGTCTAGGTAAGGCCAGGTTTGCTCCATACCAATGATAAAGTGCTCTCCATACAGGTTCTGGGACCATTTCATAATCTCTTCCATGGATCAGTTGTGGAGTCCGTTTTAATCGTCCTCCTTCTAGTGTTAATGATGTAGCCTTAAAAAGAATGAAATGAAAACGCTGATTTTCAATATTACAAAGGCGTTTGTGTTTTAACAAAACCTAGATATGGGAGAACAAACTCATATGTCACAAACTATAAAAACTACATTTTTAAAGAGAGATTTTCATTTTTGATTTTCAAAATAAGCTGTTAAGAAAGGGAATTCAAGACATACCATTTGGAAAAATCATTAGAACACTTGGAGATAATAAGACTAATTTTCATAGATTTCTTTCAAACAATAAAAAATATTATTTTGGAAACAAAATTTCATACATAGTACATGTGAAACAACATTTTCACAGTAGCTGTCTAGTGAAGAATAGTGTAAGAATAACAATATTTCCAAGAATCACATGTAAGAATAGTGTAAGAATAACAATATTTCCAAGAATCACACGTAAGTTCTAAATTATAAAATAGTCTCACATAAATGTACTATACAAAGAAATTTCCATCTACACCAGAGTAATTAAATGAATCATCAATGTTTTGCTATGTAAAAAACACTGCACATAGCAGTGAAATTTATTTGAAACTTGAAAGAGAGCAATTTTAAGTGTAGATGTCAAATTACTTACCTTTACTGGTTCTTGAGTTACTAACGGCTGGTTATCAATAGCTCCTGGTTTCTGAGGATTAAGGTGCAACAAGATATTCCCATTGGCTCCTAGCAGACACTGGTTGTTATTGTCAGAAGTGTTATGCTGTCGAGTAAAGCAAACATCTGTCCCTGATGTGGTAGAATACAGAAAACCTGTGAAGAAAAAGAATGGAATCTCTTATTTTTAGTTAATATACATAAACAGGCTTGAAGATATGAACTCAATGCCCATGTATTAGGTTAATGCTATTATTCTGTTGAATGTCAGTACAGTTTTAGAACCTGATAAATCTGTAGAAGACAGGAAATATGGATGAATCCTTTTCTGGACAATACACAGCATGGCACTAAGTAGAATGAAAGCCTTTAAAATTATTACCAAATGAATATTTGGCTCTCCTCCTAGAATATCTAACAATTCACGATGAGAATTATATGTCCTCTGATAGGAAGGGTAGAAGTGGGCCTTCATACAGTCTCCTGTAATTCTTTTCTGTCACCTGCACACACATAAGAGTGCTTAGGGCTACATCCTAATATATCTATGAACTCAATGCCCTTGAGAAAGGCATGATTTTTACAACAGGAAAATATGCATAAAACACGATTAATGATAGCACAGGATTGTGAGCCTCAATTTTAAGGTATTTCAACTCTCAACTACATGTTCATCTAGGTAATATTCTAGTCATCAATCATTTTGGAACCTTCTACCTTTGCTGCTGCTTAGTCTTTGGGTATCACAGGTTATAAAGTAAGCAGATACCAAACAAGACGTTAGACAGTGTTAAGAAACAGTATCGTTGTTAAAGATGATCAGAGCACTTCAGGGACGACTCGGTGATCTTTTTATTATCAGAAAGGACAAAGAAGCAGTAGATTCTACAAATAGCTTTGTAGAAAAAATGCTAGCTCTGTTCAATTTGCTTACATACTCCATAGAAAAGGAGGGGAAATCTCAGAAGAAATACTAACAGGATAACAGTGAAGGTTCTGCTACTGTATCTGCACAATAATTAATTCATTGGGCCACAGAAACACCAAAACATCTTCCCAGTAAGTGTGGAAACACTAAATTTTAGGTAAGTACCAAGGCCTGAAGGAAATCAGGGAGGCATTACAAATTTTTTCACAGTATTTTATCAAAATAATCTCCAACTTCTGACCTGAAAAGTCCATAGACTCTAACGTGAGGGTGTGTTTAATCCAAAGAAAGTATGTTTATGGTCAGAGAGTCCTGGAGATGAAAAATTTTATTTTCTCAAAAACTATCATCCCAAATTTAAATTTATTGACTAAATAGCCTAATAGCAATGTGGAGAGATGTGACTTGATCGATAAAAACAGTGAAAATATTTTCTTTTTTTTTTTTTTTGAGTTGGAGTCTCACTCTGTTGCCCAGACAGGAGTGCAGTGGCCGGGAGCCACTGCAGCGTCGACCTGCTGGGCTCCGGCGATCCTTCCGCCTCAGCCTTCCAAGTAGCTGGAACTACAGGTGTGCACTACCACTCCCAGATAATTTTTTTTTTTTTTAATTGTAGAGATGAGGTCTCGCCAAGTTGCCCAGGCGGGTCTCGAACCCGCGGGCTCAGGCAATCCACTCACCTCAGCCTCCCAAAGGCGCAGGATTACAGGCTGAGCCATCGAGCCCGGCTGAAAATATTTTCATATTGAGAGATTTAATGAGTATAATATAGATGGGTTTTTTCATTATAAAACTATTAATATATTCAAGAATCTTACAGTTGACAATTTCAAACTTATTTCTGTGAATGGTGGTCTGATGCCCTATTACCATATTTACCACACCCACTGCCAGCTAGATTCCCTTAAGAACTAACCAAAGCTGGGCTCAGTGGCTCAGCCTGTAATCCCACGCCTTTGGGAGGCCGAGGTGAGTGGATTGCCTGAGCCCGCAGGTTTGAGACCCGCCTGGGCAGCGAGACCCCATCTCTACAATAAATCAAAAAATCAGCCAGGTGTGGTAGCGCATGCCTGTAATTCTGG